CCTCCCTCATCTCTAAAAGTCAAAAGTCAATGGAAAAAATATCCTCGGGTAGGATTAACAAAGAAAAGAGAGAAATATTGGTCTGACTAGGTCACCAGCCTGTCCACTCCACATAGCCTAATAGGGTCACAGGATAGTCCTATGGTTTCTGTCTAGCCAGCCCTGCTGTGCACTTCGCCAAGTCTGCAGAAACTAGCAGGTAAGGGGTGAGAAAGGGGCTCGGTTGCACCCATGTCTGTCAGATCAAATGATGTCAGTGCTATGTGTGCTGGACCTCTGTTGTGACGGGCAGACTGTGCTGCTGCACAGTATCACATTGGTCCAGATGGCCTGCTCTGGCCCTTCTCCAGCAACAACAGGTATTTCTTTGTGGTGGTGTGTTTGGAGCCTCTGGTGTGTAATTCTCATGCACTTAACTTTTTAAATGGCAGTTGTGCACCCCTTTAAATTTAAAAGCTCCCGCCATTTGGTATATTTTTATTGAAATATATATCATCTGACAAAACTCTCAGATAACCTCCCCTCAAAAGAGCAGCAGGATTGCTGCTCTTTAGTGCTTCCTTTTGCATAGCATGAAAATAGCTATGTCAACATCTTTAATGCATTTTCTTAAAAACAGGGTTGAGAAATACAGACCAGTGAAATTGAATGAAGTTGTTGGGAATGAAGACACTGTGAGCAGGCTGGAGGTGGGTGTTGTTTTTTTTATAGATAAACTTGTACCACATTATTGAGCCTTGATAAGCTTAAGGCATTTGGAGGGGGGTGAGCCACAGATCCAGAAGAGTTGAGGGAGCGGGAGACATTCAATTTGGAGATGCCTAGAAGTGGTGGGTAACTTCAGATGTTTGAAGGGCTGGCTTATTTGAAGGGGGGTTATCTGACTTACATTCTTCAAGAGCAAGGGTGGCAAACTCTTTCTGTAAAGGCCAATTAATAGATACCTTAGGCTTTTTGCAAACTGTAAGATATTTGTCAAATATTCTTTGTTTATTTTTTAAACAATCCTTTAAAAATGTGAAAGCCATCCTTAGCTAGGGGTTTTATAAAAACGGGCCTCAGGCTGAATTACCCCCATTCCCTCCATCCCCTTTTCACCATAGTTTGCCACCTCCTGCCTAGAGGGACTAAGTGACAAGGCAGGTGGCTTCAAAATGGGCAGGCAGAAATGTTTAGCAGTAGAGCAAGCTTAGAATTCTGAGCCNTCAAAATGGGCAGGCAGAAATGTTTAGCAGTAGAGCAAGCTTTGAATTCTGAGCCCTAGAGGTCTTTAGACAGAACCTAGAAGCCCAACTATTTGAGACATGACTGAGATAGTCTCTGTAGTAATTGGGGCTTAGATTTTAATAGCTACCAAGGTATTTATTAATTTTATAAATTTATTCATTTTACAAATATTCGAGTATGTTCTCTGGGCCAGATATGGTGCAATGTTAGGAACTATTGATATAATAGTGAACAGAATAGACATTCCTGTCTGAGTGAGATTTTTAGTCTAATGGGGCAGCATTAAAGTCAGCAGGGAATGTGATAAGCACTCTGCTGGAGGAGGTACAGGGTACTGTGGGAGCACATGGGAAGAGGTGCAGGGAGATAATCTCACAGTATCTTTATTCCCAAGTGGAAGAAGTGATACCAGAGCTTGAGTGTGAATTCACTAGACTTGGAGGGGAGGGGTGGAGAGAGAAGAGGTAGCAGGAATAGCATGTGCAAAGGCCCCAGGTGAGAAAACTTGACTTGTTCTTGGGAGGGGGTGCCATCTGATTGTAATAGTGCTTTCTAAACATTAATGAGCATATGAATTGCCTGGGGATTTTGTTAAGATGCAGATTCTGGTGCAGTAGTTCTGGAGTGAGGCCAGATTATGCCACCGGTCCATGAGCAAGGCTGTAGAGTCCATGTATTAGGATGTAAGAAATGAGGTGGTGAGCTGGACAGGGCTTGGTGAGCCATGTTTAAGAGTTTGGGCTTCATGAAGCCAGCCTAGCACACCCCTTAATTTACATTAGAAAATCTCCAGCTCTCTTCACCTTTTTCACCCAGCCCCACAACCCCCTGCCCTCTGACAGCTGCCAGTCTGTTCTGTCTGTGGGNAGAAAATCTCCAGCTCTCTTCACCTTTTTCACCCAGCCCCACAACCCCCTTGCCCTCTGACAGCTGCCAGCCTGGTCTGTCTGTGGCTCTGTTTCTATTTTGTTTGTTGGTTTATTTTATTCATGAGATTCCACATATGAGTGAAATCATAAAGGTAAAAGGATTAAGCAAAAAACAAACAAACATAGACACAGACAACAGCATGGTGATTACCAGAGGGGAAAGAAGGTGGGGGCAGGTAGACGAGGGTAAAGGGGATAAGTGGTGATGGAAGGAGACTTGACTTTGGGTGGTGAACACACAATACAATATACAGATGATGTGTTATAGGATTGTACACCTGAAACCTATATAATTTTATTAACCAGTATCACCCCAATAAATTCAATAAAAATGAATAAATAAGAAAAAAAAAACAAGTTTGGGCTTCATGATGAGGGCAGTAAGGAGTGATCCCAAGGGTTTCAGTCAGGTAAAAATGTTTTAATTAGACGTGTGTTTGAGAAAATTGGCTATGGTTACAGTATGGGAAATGGATTGGGGAGGGGCAAGGTTAGAGGCAAGGAGACTAGGAATGACTATGCCTTTGTAATTAAGGTGCTCTGTGGGGGGAGGAGGAAGGCCAAACCGAGTGATAGTAACCTCCCAGTTCCTGGCTTGGGTGATGGGGTTGATGGCATTGACAGTCCATGGAAGGGGAACTATGGGTGGGGCCTCAGGTTTATAGGGGAAGATGATGAGTTCAATTTTGAATGTGCTGAGGTGAGAGTTCCATGGTGCATTCACATGGAGAAATTTGTGGCCATGTTTACTGCACAGGCCTACGTGGCTTGGAAGGCTTGGCTCCTTAAGGTTTACAGGTTAACTAGTTTTAATGGACATTTCTTCTTTCAGGTCTTTGCACGAGAAGGGAATGTGCCCAATATTATCATTGCTGTGAGTACTCAGTCTCGGCCCTGATGGATGTCTTGTAGTCTCATTTTCTCTTCCCTCTGAAGTGCTTTCTTGTGCAGAGAGCTTCCTCCTCAGAGAGGCCTGATAACACCACAGCCCTCACATTGCCCTCTGCAAAGAAAACATTTCACCCAAGTTGGTCAGGAGGCCTGTGGGTTGGTTGCTGTATTGATTTGGTGTGTGCTGTGGGTTGGGATTGAGGGTTTGGGGGGGGGGGTGTGAGTGCAAAAAGTGCTGAACAGTAAATCAGGAGCTACGTTAAGTTCATTCTGCTGGCTTGAAGCACTTACTGGGATCTCATTCCTAGGGCCCCCCAGGAACTGGCAAAACTACAAGCATCCTGTGTTTGGCACGAGCCCTTCTGGGCCCAGCTCTCAAGGATGCTGTTTTAGAGCTCAATGCCTCAAATGACAGGTACGTTTGGGAATTAGCACTGAAGGGCAACATTTTGAATTGTTCTAGAAATGGCCTTTTTTCCATTCTATGTATATTATTTTTAATTATGGTAAAATGTACATAACATGAAATTTGCCGTCTTACTAATTTTTTTTAATCCTCACCCAAGGATATGGTTTTTTATTGATTTTTTTTTTTAGAGAGAGGAGGAAGGGGGGGAGAGAAAGTGAGAGAGAGAAACATTGATGTGAGAGAGAAACATTGATCAGTTGCCTCCCATGTGCACCCTGACCTGGGAATTGAACCCAAAACCTTTTGGTGTATGGGGTGATCCTCCAACCAACTGAACCACCTGGCCAGGGCCATCTTGCTCATGTTTAAGTGTACAGTTCAGTCGTGTTAAGTATATTCACATTGTTGTGCAGCCAATCTTTAGAACTTCTTCATCTTGCAAAACTACAACTCTGTACCCATCCCCATCCCCCTGCCCCTTGCAACCACCATTCTATTTTCTGTTTCTATGAACTTGATTCTATTGCAGATGCCTCATATAAGTGGTTTCATACAGTATTTGTCTTTCTGTGTCTGGCTCTTTTCACATAGCATAATGTCCTCAAGACTCATCCATATTGCAGCATCTGTCAGACTGTCTGTCCTTTTTAAGGCTGAATAATATCCCTTTGTATTGATAGACCACCACACTTTGCTTATTCATTCATCCATTGATGGATGCTTGGGTTGCTTTTATCTTTTAGATATTGTGAATTGTGAAAATGCTATGAACATGGGCACAGATATGGTTTCAAGACCCTGCTTTTAATTCTTTTGGATGCACACTTAGAATTGCTGGATTATATCTGGTAATTCTGTGTTTAATTTTTGGGGAACCTCCATGCTGTTTTCCATTCCCACCAACAGTACTCAAGGGTTCTAATGTCTCTACATCCTCACTGACAACTTGTTATTTTCTATCTTGTTGTTGTTAGTAGCCATCCTAATGGTATGAGGTGCTGATTTACTTTGTTGTTGTTGTTGTTAATCCTGACCCGAGGGTATTTTTTCCATTGATTTTGAGAGGGAGGAAGAGGGAAGGAGAGAGTGTGAGATAGAGAGGNTAATGTCTCTACATCCTCACTGACAACTTGTTATTTTCTATCTTGTTGTTAGTAGCCATCCTAATGGTATGAGGTGCTGATTTACTTTTTTGTTGTTGTTGTTAATCCTGACCCGAGGGTATTTTTTCCATTGATTTTTAGAGGGAGGAAGAGGGAAGGAGAGAGTGTGAGATAGAGAGAAACATTGATGTGAGAGAGACACATTAATTGGTTGCCTCCTGCATGCTCCCCAACCAGGGCCTGGGATCGAACCTGCAACCCAGGTACGTGCCCTTGATTGAGAATCGAACCCACGACCCTTAGGCTTGAGGGCTGACACTCTAATCATTAAGCCACACCAGCCAGGGCTGGCTTACTTTTTAACATGAAATAGAGGATTATGAAATGAGGACCTGTCAAATAAAAAGTCTGCCAAGTCTGTCTTTGGTTATTCCTTGAGGATATAGTTCTCAGCTCTTTAATATTATCCTAATTTTGAAGATTTATGTATACTTGAAGCAGGCAGTGTCCTTGGAATTCAACTAACTGCTCGCCAGCTGTCACGAATGAGCCTAAAGTCAATCCATTTTGTCAGTGTTACCTCTTGTTCTTCTCACACTTGCATCATTAAACTCACTATTTTTGAAAACTTTGATGGCTCATAATTTTCTTAAAGAAAGAATGGCCCATAATTGTAAAATATTTTCAATTTTAGATTTATAAACACCTATTTGAATTATCAATACAATGACTTTTGCATTTCTGTATCATCTGTTTCCTTCCACTCACTTTTGTATACAAATCTGCCTTCAGCTTTTGATCACTTACAAACTGTACCCTGTAAATGTTGGTGTACAAACATCATAAAAGATGAAAGAGTACTATCACATTTTTTTTTATCAAAACTGAAGGTCCAAGTTCTTATCGTAGGATATTGGGGAATGAAGTCCTTCCTGTTGAGTGACTAACCGGATGAAAATACATTTAGTTTTTGTCCTTAGAAACATTGGTCACTCCTTGATTCTTTTTTAAAATTTATTTTTTATTAAAATAACAGTTAATATACACTATTATATTAGTTTCAGGTGTACAGTATAGTTATTCAACACTTATATACCTAATGAAGTGGTCACCGTGGTAATTCTCGTAACCATCTGACATTGTCTGTACAAGGTTATTCAGTATTACTGACTATTTTCCCGATGCTATACATTACATTCTCATGACTTACTGATTTTAAAAATACAGAACATTTCACAGATTTGCATGTCATCCTTGTGTAAGAGCCATGCTACTCTTCTCTGTGCCATCCAATTTTCATATATGTGTTGCCAAAGTGAGTACACTCCTTGGTTCTTAAGTTTGAGAAAATTCATCTAGGATTTTGGCATCTAAGGAAACACAGTCTGAAATGTTGCTTATCTGATCAGTTTCACCGTCCTTAGAGTCTAGAGTACTATTTGCTTCCCTGCAGTCATTTTCTGATTTGTCTAATAATTATGAAACATTTTCCTGTCAACTTTTTTCTCTTTGACATTGTGGGTGGAAAATGCAAAGTTCTTATTTTTTTTAGTTGTGACCAGTGAAAGCTTTAAAAAAGATAGCAAAGACAGAGTATCCGAACTTCTTTTATGACTTCTAGAGAGTTAATGCAGTACTTCAGGCAGCACAATGGAAAAAAGGAAGGATGAGACAATAGTAATAGTATTTTTTCTCCCACCATTGCATTATTCTTCTAGGCAATTCCATCATTTCTTTCATTTTCTTATTATTTTAGTTGTTTTTCGTATAGTTGGGAATAATTGATGAGTAATGAGGAAATAATTACTAGGATGATGAAATACCAAACAGTTTCACGGTATAGGAAGAATAAGATCACTAAGACCTTAACATATATCTAAGATTATAAAATGATCCAATGGACCCATAAGGTAATTGCAAGATAAAGTTAGTTTCATTGTATTTTAAGTAGTAAGTAAATATTTCTTTCTTCTGAAGATCTCCAAAAAGGAATAAAAGTAATAAAATTTCAATTCTTATAAGTAGTTAGACTTGTTCATAAAGGAAACAACTAAATTGGTTCCATGGTGATGTATGCGAGTTAAAAGTTCCCGTGAACATAACTGAATTTGTCTCAAAGGTGACAGTTAAATTCTGGCTCGTTTCAGGGGCATTGATGTTGTGAGGAACAAAATCAAAATGTTTGCCCAACAGAAAGTCACCCTTCCCAAAGGACGACACAAGATCATCATCCTGGATGAAGCAGACAGGTAGAGTGCCTTGCCGAACATTTTGACCTTGATCTCTAAATCTCTTGTCTGGCTTTATTAAATCCACCTTTGCACTTTTGTGGTATGTTTGCTTATCTTCAAAAGCAGTTTAATAGGGGCTTGAGCCCTAAACCCATCTTAATTAACTTACATTTGTTTAAGATAGTTTGCTAATGTGTTTGTTCCAGCATCACTTATATGATGAATAATTTAAATGTTATTTTTTTTTATCGTAGTGAAGTACACACAACATAAAATTTACCATTTTTAACCATTTTAGTGTATAATTCAGTGACATTTAGTACATTTACAATGTTAGACAGCCATTACCAGCATAAATGAAAAGTTTTGAATGACATTAAAAAACACCAGTAATACATATTCTTTCAAGAAAATTTAGAAAATATTATTAATATCTTGCTTTATTTTCTTTTTCTACACTATGTATTTTTACATAGTTTAGATCATAATGTATATAATTTTTGTATCCTGGCTTTTCCTTTTAACTTAAAAAGCATTGTTCCATGTTATTANAACTTAAAAAGCATTGTTCCACGTTATTATATTCTTATTCGAAACATAGTTTGTAATAATCCATAGTTCGATGCACCTTAACCTATTTACTATAAGATAGCAATAATAGCTAACATTTTTTGAGCACTTNAACCTATTTACTATAAGACAGCAATAATAGCTAACATTTATTGAGCACTTATATGTAAGCATTTACATTATCCCAGGCACTCTGCGAAACACTTTACATATTTTGATCGCATTTAACTGTCATCACAACCCTCTGAAGTAGGCAATATCNTATATGTAAGCATTTACATTATCCCAGGCACTCTGCGAAACACTTTACATGTTTTATCGCATTTAACTGTCATCACAACTCTCTGAAGTAGGCAATATTCTTATCACCTTATAGGTGATGACATTGAGGCTCAGATGATTTGCCTTGTGGTCCCAAAACTAGCAGATGAAGGAGCTGTGAAGTGAGCCCAGGCAGTCTGGGCGCAGAGCCTCTGCTCTATGCCGATGTGCAGCTTGTCTATGAAAGACCCAAACAGGGTCTTGAAGAGAGACTGAGTGTGTTCAGTCAGGAGGTCAGGGTTCCCAGGCTCTATAGGGAGGGATTTGTGTCCAGTGGGCTCTGGGCCACAGTTGCAAACTGCACTCCTATGTTTTTCTTCTCAGCATGACTGATGGAGCCCAGCAAGCCTTGAGGAGAACCATGGAAATCTACTCCAAAACGACTCGCTTTGCTCTTGCTTGTAATGCTTCGGATAAAATCATAGGTGAGCATCAGCCCTGGGTGGCTTGGAGTCCACATGGTGCTCATTTGGCTCCTTAGAAGAGAAGAGTAGGGACTTTTTGATTGCCTATCAGGAGCCAAGCACTGTGCTGTATAATCAATTTTTTCATTTAATCTTACATAATTATTTGCAGAGGTATTATTAACTCCACATTAGAGATGAGAAAGTGAGCTCAGAGAGGGTGAATAATTTCCCCACGGTTACATAGCAAGTGGAAGAGCTGGGATTGGAACCCCATGTCTTTCTTCCTCTTGCGCCATTGCAGGCACATGTGACATTTTGATATCCTGCGCACAGTGTCAGAGTCACTGCCCCTCTCCAGACCTGTTCCTGCACTTTCTGTGTGCCTGAGTACTTTGTATGCACTGTGTCTAATATGCACACCAGGACTTGATTATTACCAGGGATTGCCTCACCTATGCAACCTTACTTGTTAGTCTCCTCCTACCTGGCATTTGTCCTTCCAGTTCCCTCCCCTCCATCAATTTGTTTACTCACTGCTGTGAACCCCCACCCCCCACCCTAACCTTTCAGCATCTCAGCTTCCTGGTGATTTCACATCCTTCCCTTTCTGATACAGACTTCAGGCACAATTCAGCTTTCTCTCTCCATTTCTCACAGCTCTCTTGTCCTGCTGTCCTTGCCTCACGTCCTTCCTGCTACACCCCAGCCTGTGTGAACTCAGCCATCTGACTCCCCCCTCTCCCCTCTTGGTCATTGTATGCTGCTGTGGACAAGCTGGTTAACTGTAATGCCCCACAAAGTTGGCAGGCTCTTTGTGTTACCAGGATTCCTTTAGGTCCTTTTACCTTCCCTAGATAGTCATTATTTGTTCATTAATTTATTAAGCTATTTATTCAACGAGCATTTACTCTGTTCTCAGTAGGTGTCAGGTACCATTAGTACAGAGCATTCAGAGTTTAATGAGAAACATTCTCTATCTTTAAGACATCAATGATGTGGTGGAGGAAACTGCTGAAAGTTCTTGATTGATGGATATGTATGTAGCTTGTCTTCTTAGCCAGTGGTAATCTGTGAGGGCAGGGGCTGTATTATACTTATTGACCTCCCCACCAATGTATTTTGCATAGGACTGTGCATTAATGAGTTACAGCGATTCAAAACTATATTTGTTGGTGGAGAAAGCTCTGGCATTCTCTTTTTATGAAAGTAATTTTTGTGATGCCTACAGCATTCAGATTATTTTTAATTTTTAAAGGGACATAGCAAACATGAAATCTCTAAAGGAATTAACTTCTCAGCGTTAGAGGAAATGGTTCATGGTCAAATTGCTGCAGAGTTGATTTTTGAAACTTAGCAGCCGGATCTCACTTTGGTTCCTAGATTCATACAGGTAAGAGAGAGGTATACTCTAAGGAAGGCCATGGCTGCCTTATTCTGACATGTATTTAAATTCTGCGAATTCAGCTTTTGGAACTTCTCAAAAGTTAAAAATCAACTAAAGGAAACTTCTAGTGTAGTTGGAATATTAATTGCTTTAAAATATGGACTCCAGTTTCTTTCTTTCTTTTTTTAAAAAAATATATCTTGCCCGGCCGGGCGTGGCTCAGCGGTTGAGCGTCGACCTGGGATCCAGGCGATCAGGGTTCGATTCCCGGTCAGGGCACATGCCCAGTTGCAGGCTTGATCATTGACTCTCTCATCATTGATGTTTCTGTCTCTCTCTCTCTCTCTCCTTTCCTCTCTCTGAAATCAATAAAGATATGAGAGAGAGAGAGACAGAAACATCAATGATGAGAGAGTCATTGATCA